GAACCATCTTTCCAGTACACATATGATTCACTCCAACCACTGCTTCCAGCTCTGCCCCCGCAAGGATACAACAAGAGAAAACACATTCTTTCCAGGAAGTGCACTGAGATCTGCAAGATTACCTCCTGTGGGATTGCACTGCAAGTGGCAGATTTGCCCACTCTGAAGGCACAGGCAGTCACATCTTGTCCCCCACCCCTCCCTGGCTGACACCAGGCACAGGGGACAGAGATTCCCAACCTAAACAATGACTCTTAACTGACTCCTAAATTGAGCAGGTTTGCTGCTGGAATAGAGGGGGAATCCTGGGAATAGAAAGCCTGGACCAGCAATTGGTTGTGCAAAAAACAGGAGTGCTGACAGTAGTAAAATTGTTCCCCTTCCTACAGCAACTCTTCATGACTAAAGGCACAGGCACAGCTGTAATCTGGAGTCACCAGGTGATGTTTTAGCATCAGACTTCACAAACTCAACTGCAGCATTTGGAAACTAAACACATCACCCTCTGGCATGGGAGCAGGGATGTAAGCACAGGCTGAACACCCCTGAAAAGTTGAGGACTTGCACCAGCACCAAGCCTAGTTAAAGCCATCAGCAACAGAACTACAGCAACAGTTCTTTCACCATTTCTACTTCATTTTTTGAGACTGTGATTTGCTCCTGGGACCCCCTGTAAGTAGAAATGGCTTGGGGTGGGTTACGTAATTATGTATTCTGTAGACATACACACCTACAGAAACTTTATGGAAAGGATCACTTAGGGACTGACCAGTATATTCATATTTAGCACAGGAGATGTCAATAGTTTGCTCCAGCTCTATCTGGGTCACAGCAGAAAGCCACACACGGAATTCTTCACTCAAAGCATGCCTAGAAAGACAAGCACAAGATAAGTGTCCTCCCATGTTAATAAACATATCACCAGTGCCTAAACCCATTTATTGCCTCTTTGCCAACTACTTTAACAGTTGCAGGGGCTGTTGCTGCCAGTGACAGTGTATTCCTGTAAAACCACACAGGACCTGGCCAGGAAAACAGTTCATTGTCCTGCAGGGAATGACCAGCAGCGAGTGTGCAACCAGTTGGAAGGACCACAGGGAACTATTTCAGGGGTGACAGACACAGGAGGGCTGAGTGAGGAGGAAAACTGAACTGACTTCAGTGCCACGACGGGCACAGAGCAGACTCAGCCCTTCAGGGCCGGACTGCGGCCCAAGCAGCCCTC